GTATGGTACTGTTAGATTGTCTTTGACATAATTTGCTTGTCTTTGTTATAATTTGCTTATTGTCAAAATTAGGCATTGCAGAAAAAGGTTCATGTACATTGGTTGTATGTATAAGACTATCTGACATTGATAAGAGTTCTTGGTGCCCTCACTGGTATATAGTAAATGAACCATCTGTCTGTCTGTCTGCCCCCATGATGGAAAGTTGGTTTTAATAATCGGAAATACAGGTGTTCGGCACATTTGTATTGCCAAAATGGTCAAATGATCATAAAATAATCTCTCCTTTATCATTATGAACAAGATTACTATCTGTCTGTAGTCTATGCTTAATGGGGGTCCATCCGCCCGTAAGGGCACAAAATGCAGCTTTAGCTGTCGAGTACGGACCCTGAACACATCGACAGTCATGCCCTTAAAGAGTAAATTTTGAAGCACAAAGTGGTGATAATTTACCTCGATTCAATTTCAACAGAGTATTAGCCAAAGATATGAATTTTGAGCCAAAAATAGGTCACTGTACGGCGGTCAATGAGAACCTGAATGTACAGTAACCTGAGACAATATGAAAGGGTATCAGCAAAGCGCCTGCTATTCAAGCCGCCTAACCATGCTAGGGGCTAACACACCCTAGCACACCATCTTCGTCGACCCAAAGCCTACTTTGTAGGACCGCTCTCCTCAGCTTTAGTCAGGGCATCGGCAGCTGGTCCGCAGCACAAGTTCCGATCTTTTTTGCTGTCCCCAGTCTTCAAATCTTTTGCTGATGCCCTGTGCCTTCTCAACGACCTTTACATACCAAGGGGAAGAGAGAAGACAAAACTACTATCCAGCATGCATTTACTATATATATAGGAAACAGGTTCGGGATAGTAGTTTTGTTTATCATGAACATCAATCACTTATTTGACATAAATACCTGAGAAAACAGGATAAATAATTTTTGTGTGTGTGTTTTGTTATATTTTCATGAGCATGAGTTTACAGGATCATCAACGTTATTTTATGTTTTGTTATTTTGGACAACAATTATAACTCAACAATGAGATTTTAAAAGCAGTGTAAAATAATTTGTGGGAGTAAACCTGGTTAAACAGAACTTTGATATCTGAAAGTGAAAGAACTTGAAAAACTTAAGGAGAGTGTTTGTTTCTGGAGCTCCTTTAGATTAATTAAAAAATTAGATGTGTCTACCAAAATTTTCAGTAATTTCCTTATATTATGTTACTAATATCTTAGAATAGCCAAAGAGATTCCCACATTTCTGTTAATGACCAATGAAAATTCTATTAACATTTAATTTTCCCGGTAAATTTTAGATGACCTTCAGCTAAAACAAAACTTCATGCAGTAACCAGGCTTCTTTTGATGTGGCATCTTTCTGTTGCAAGTTTGTGAGTTTGGTTGTTTTGAAGGGTTCAGAAAGATATTAAGAAAGTTTGAGATTTATCAAGCAACATGTTTTATAACAATGTAATACTGCATTATTGTACAGTTCAACATCTATGCTTTTTATTCTGTATAAAACAAACTATTGAACTGTCAAATAACAATTTAGTTCCCAAGTTTTGCTATAACTTTGATAATATTATAAATATAGTAGACACTCTGGAAGTTATATATAGAAAAACTTGTCTGTACTGGCATTATCCAGGCAAACAATTGTAACAAACAAACAAATTACTTGAATTAATCAGTTCTATGGTGTAACTTGAACCGCTGAAGGTATGTACTCACTGTGAAAGTTTATAAAAATAAATAAAAAATTGTCACGCTTTGAACATATATTTCTAGCACATACTGTGTTTAATGCTCAAAAGCTTTTTCTTATTAAGTTCAGTTGTCAGTTGCCCAAAGGGAGGTAATCAGTAATGAATGTATCCAATAACATTAATAATGTAAAGTACTGGATTTTACATGCTTACTAAAGAGGTAAACTGTTAACAAGATATTGGTTTCTATAAAGGAACTTTTATCCTAAAAATAATTTGCAATTCTTAAAAGCTTTTATATTATATAGTACTATATAAGTGTTTCATATTTAGCAGGTGCAACAAAGTGGTTTTCGTCAGATTTCGTTCATAAGTAGAATAGGTCACTAAATAGCTTTTCCCTTGAGATTCTGTAATAGGGTTTTATATTAAGCCTTCCAGAAGCAAACACAACAAAGTTGTTTACACGTGATTCCCGTCAAAATAAGCACAGTTAAATAAGCTGCAAAATATATACACATGCTGAGCTGTGCACAATATTCGGATGTAAATAAAATTAAAGATAGCAACTAATTTTATTTTTTACTAAACAATTCATTTGTCTACCAGCATGTTATGTTTTTCCATGAAAATTATAACAGATGACATTAAAGATCTGGACAGTTAGGTGTTTTTTGTTTTCCAACTTTGTATCAACTATCAGCTGTTTTCAAATTAAAATGTTATTCCTTATGTTTTTCTTATGGTTACATGCAGTTGTGTCCCTCACTACCAAAGGAGGTGTCCCTCACCACCCAGAGTGGTGTCCCTCACTACCCAGAGTGGTGTCCCTAACTACCAAAGGAGGTGTCCCTCACCACCCAGAGTGGTGTCCCTCACTACCAAAGGAGGTGTCCCTCACCACCCAGAGTGGTGTCCCTCACTTAACCCAGGAGTCATGGGTTTGAGCCGTTCATGGGCGATACCAATGGTACTAGTAATTTACTGTCTCAAAAATGGACTAAATAAGAATTCATAATATCTAGACTTATCTTATGTTCTCTCTCTAAAACCATATTTGAAATTATCTGTTTTAAACCAACTGAATATATATGATGAGAATAAGGTTTCTTGACATTGCCAGACAATTTGACCTATATTTTTGAGTTTACTGACCTCTAGACACAAATTTAAAGAGGAAATTTTACTTGTGTAAACTTTATATGGTCCTTGCAAAATGTAGACCTGAGGCTTTTGCTCCTGAAATAATGGACAGATGTTTTTGAAACTTTACAGTTAATGTAAAACCCTGTTGGACACTTAAAATTGTTCAGACTGTTAAAGAATTGACTTCAAACCACTTGCCTCTCACCACTGTTAAGGTTAGAGCCGCAACTCAAATACATTTACTACACAAGCTGTGCAAGCATTGTTTTATTCTAAATGTGTTGAAAGCTATCCAACTAGCTTACAGAATGTTCGTAGTTCTATTCAGGTGCCCGTTTGTGCCTGACATAATGTACACAGGTGCATCTGAGGTCTTCCTCCACCAGTAAAGCTGGAAAGTCTACTGAGTTGGTTGACATAAAACCCAACTAAAAGAAGAAGAAGAAAAACAATTTGGTAGAACTCATTGTCAGATCTTCATGAAATCCATCTAGGGCTACATGCATTTTGTTTGATCTACTAAACAAGATATATTTTCTGTAAAAGCCAAAAAATAGAAATTAGCTACAAATATATTCATCTATGTCATACACCCTTAAATATATCTGGATCTGATAGTGATAAGCCTTTGCTACAAGTTTAGAGTTCGGCTAGACAGCACCATTCAGGTCAGCCTGTGCATCTGTGAAGTTTTGCCATTCTCTATATTGGCAGCCTAACTTTTTTGTATTTTGTAAACAGAATTCCTTTAAATTTTAATGTATGTTTCCAAATTCAAACCACAGCAAATTTATTACACAGATTCTTTCATTCTCGCGAACATGTTCCTTAGACGTGAGATCCAGGGCACTAAAGGACTGTCAATATTGTTTAAACATTGTCTGATAAATATTTGTTATAGATTTGTTGAACTATGTATTTGGAACTGTCCTTTCAAAGTGAGTTTAAAGGATTTCAGTATGAAATAAAAAAAAGAATGAACAGCCAACAGTATAGAGACTGATCAAACTGCACTGATATAACTGCAGGCTGGCCTGGCTCTTTACTGATTGATAGCAAAGTCTCATCATTTTTGGTTTGTTAAAATAAAATTCTATAAACTTCCAAGACTAGCCTTTTCAACAATGTTAATTTTGATATTAAATAAATGCTGCATTTAAACATTTTTTCCTTTTTCTTTTTGAAATAGTAACTTTAATAGCATTTTACATTGTAACTTACAGTTTGATTCTTATTTTCCTTTTTTCTTTGCAATATGTTTTACCTTTTATGTCACATGAAGGTTTGTGTGATAATTGTTCTTGGTGCATATCTGCTTTCACATTAACAGCACATGTTACAATCATTTTGTTTTAACTACAAGCTATATCAATATTAGGAAATGTTTTCTTATCTATTTTTGTAATATTTTTTTCTCATTCAAAGTGTGTTTGATAGAATATAAGCCTGTACATATTGGTATATTTTTCTAGCAAATTCTCGAAGGCCAAACTACAGATGGTGTAAAGTGCATGAATCAACAATCCATATTTTAAAAATCTTAAATTTTAAAGAATCTGAAGACATTTAAGCTTCTAGTTTACGTAACTGTGTGACATATTTGTTTGATGCAAAACAATGAAATTACATTGTTTACCGATGAAAAAATCTAAATTTTCACTCAATGAATCTGAGAAATACAATGGCTCCTAGTGCTGATTCTTCTATTACATACAAGGGTAGACAATAAGTTTCAAATAAAATTTCAATGAAATTTTGACTTTGGATAGGTAAGGTTATGGGGATATTCTGATTTTTTTTGTCATAAGCAAATGTAGTTGCCATGGCTACAAGTGCCTTAAAGTTTATATAAAAATTATAGATGGAGAGAAGGTTTTTAGTTAGACGCTGGTCTGAATTTATGTTTGATTTAAACATATTTTATTGCTCTTTTCATACACATTTACAATATAATTTTATCATAATATAAACACAAAAGTAGCAAAAGGGTTGAACCACAAGTTATTAAACATTTCTTCCATCTAGCTTTTAGAACTCAATGCTCACTCTGTAAACTGTATTTAATGTGATATAACTTTTAACTTTGCTGATAAAAGATATTGTTTAAACTAAATACCAATGGTGATGAAATTCCTTTTCTTTTATGTTTCAGACTATTGAAAGGCTATTCAATGATGTTAAGAAGAAGAAGCCAAAGGGACAGCTGCTGTCTTCTGCTACTCCTGAGGTTTGTAATTACCTGAACTCTTTAATGAAAGTACTAGAAAATGATTATAGCAGGTCAAAGTTACCGTTATAGATCCAGGCCAGTATGCACAGTTATGTTGTAATTCATAGAGGTCAGTCTGTAAAGCTGTATTGTATTATAGAGATACACCAGTCTATCATAGAGACAAATCAGTCTGCACAGCTGTATAGTATCATAGAGATACACCAGTCTATCATAGAGACAAGTCAGTCTGCACAGCTGTATTGTATCAGAAAGATACACCAATTTATCATTGAGACAAGTCAGTCTGCACAGTTGTATTGCATCATAGAGACAGGTCAGTCTGTACAGCTGTGTTGTGTCATGGGCAGGTCAGTCTGTACAGCTGTGTTGTGTAATAGAGACTGAGGTCAGTCTGCACAGCTGTGTTGTATCATAGAGACAGGTCAGTCTGTACAGCTGTGTTGTATCATAGAGATAGGTCAGTTGTCACAGCTGTGTTGTGTCATAGGGACATGTCAGTCTGCACAGCTGTGTTGTATCATATAGACAGGTCAGTCTGTACAGCTGTGTTGTGTCATAGAGATAGGTCAGTTGTCACAGCTGTGTTGTTGTCACAGCTGTGTTGTATTGTAGAGACAGGTTATCCTGCACTGCTGTGTTGTATCATCAGGTCAGTCTGTACAGCTGTGTTGTATCATAGAGACAGGTCAGTCTGTAAAGCTGTGTTGTATCATATAGACAGGCCAGTTGGTACAGCTGTTTTGTATCATAGAGACAGGCCAGTCTACACAGCTGTGTTGTATTTTAGACAGGCCAGTCTGTACAGCTGTGTTGTATCATAGAGAGAGGTCAGTCTGTACAGCTGCATTGTATTAAAGAGACAGGCTAGTCTGCACTGCTGTGTTGTATTAAAGAGTCAGGCCAGTCTGCACAGCTGTGTTGTATCATAGATATAGGTCAGTATGCACAGCTGTGTTGTGTCAGAGAGACAGGCCAGTCTGCACTGCTGTGTTGTATCATAGAGACAGGTCAGTCTGCACAGCTGTGTTGTGTCATACAGATCAGTATGCACAGCTGTGTTGTATCATAGAGACAGGCCAGTCTGTAAAGCTGTGTTGTATCATATAGACAGGCCAGTCTGTACAGCTGTGTTGTATCATCAGGTTAGTCTGTACAGCTGTGTTGTATCAAAGAGACAGGTCAGTCTGTACAGCTGTGTTGTATCATATAGACAGGCAAGTCTGTATAGCTGTGTTGTATCATAGAGACAGGCCAGTCTACACAGCTGTGTTGTATCATAGAGACAGGCCAGTCTGCACAGCTGTGTTGTATCATAGAGACAGGTCAGTATGCACAGCTGTGTTGTCTCAAAGAGACAGGCCAGTCTGCACAGCTGTGTTGTATCAAAGAGACAGGCAAGTCTGCACACCAGTGTTGTGTCATAGAGACAGTTCAGTCTGCCAAGCTGTGTTGTGTCATAGTTATAGGTCAGTCTTCACAGCTGTGTTGTGTCATAGAGACAGGCCAGTCTGCACAGCTGTGTTGTATCAAAAGGACAGGTCAGTCTGTACAGCTGTGTTGTATCATAGAGACAGTCCAGTCTGCACAGCTGTGTTGTATCATAGAGACAGATCAGTATGCACAGCTGTGTTGTATCATAGAGACAGTCCAGTCTGCACAGCTGTGTTGTGTCATAGAGACAGATCAGTATGCACAGTTGTGTTGTATCATAGAGACATGTCAGTCTGCACAGCTGTGTTGTGTCAATAATAGCCTCTGTCTCTACACTTTTTCCTGTTCCAGTAATGCATTTTCATATTGAAATCACAAAAGGTAGTAATGTATAGTTAACAGGACTGGTCCTGAAGGAATTTAAATGTCAACAGTTTGGCATGATTATGATTTAATAATGAAAATAAAAGAAAATTAATTTTGCATAGTCTTAATTCTCAACTTTTGAGCTTGAAATAGAAATTCACAAAATACTGTCAGATATATAGCTTACATTGAGGTATTTGAATTTCTCAGGGGGATTATGATAATAGATAGACTGGAACAAATAATGAATAGCAAGATTTTTTTCTTTGATTTAACAAGCTATTTTGTGTAGGCTTTTAGATGACTTTTAAAGGACTCAAGATTATACCAAAGTTACACTAAAGATGTCGTCTGCTGGTAAGATGTCTGCTGTTGACAAGATAAGGTCTACCCATGAGGAAACTGAAAAAGTGATTAAAGATTTAAGTGTCTATTTTTCCCCTAGATATTAACGTTTTTTTCTCTACATTAATGGTTGAAATTGTACTTTTTTTCGTGGAAGAATTTTCTTGACAAATGACTTGGGAAAATAAGATTTGTGGCATAATGTTTACCATAGATTTGTAATTAAACCTATCCTGTCCTTTAAATTTAAGGATATACAGAATTTATTTTAGTTCTATTGTGTAGGAAGCTTATAGACACACTCTCAGCCATACAAAATATAAGTCATTGTAATGCTATATCTAATGAAATTTTTTTTTATAAAATTTAAAAATGATCAAATTATGTTGTTTACCTAATCTTACGATTGAGTCATGAAAATGATGTAACATAGTATGTTTCTGTGATTTAACTTACATGATAATTGTACTGAAACTGAATAAAATGTTCCGGCTGCTACTTAAAGTAGTTTTTCAAGTGTTTAGCTGCAACCTTCACTCAAAAGGAACTAAACCCTGAATATTTCTTTCGTACTGATATTTTGGCAGTATTCTTTTTTATGCCCGCGAAGGGAGTCATATTTAAATCGCACTGTCCGTCTGTGCGTCCCCACTATATTCTTGTTTGGATTGTAACTTTGTCATACATTGAGAGATTTTGAAATAACATGGAACAAATGTCTACCACATCAAGACGATGTTTCGCGTCCAAGAACCACGTCCCTATCTTAAAGGTCACACTATCATTTTGAAGTTTCACATTATCACAAATAGAGTAAGTAGGTACACACATTCGTGTTTGGACTGTGACTTTGTCATGCATCAAATGATTTTAAAATAACTAGTCATAAATGTCTACCACATCAAGACGACATGTCGCCAGAAAGACCCATGTCCCTATCTTCAAGGTCAAGTCAAACTTATAGGTTGAAGGTACTCGTTCTCTCAAGAAGAGTTTGAAGATACACATTTATGTCCGGATGCATGGAAGGATTTTAGAATACTTGGCACAAATGCTACCTCATCAAGAAGATGTGTCGCGGCTAAGGCTCATGTCCGTCTTTGTGTCCCCAATCCAATTTACTCAATTAATTAAACCTTAATTGATGTTGTTTTTTTTCAAGAGACATTCCTTATATTTACAGTACCAATTAATTCTGTATATCAAAATAGAAAGGAAAGTGGGATCACAGATGGTGTCATTACTATAAATTACTGTCTTAGTTTTCCTGACAGGTTTGACATAAATGGAAGATAAATAGATCTTTAGGTTATGGTCTTACAAATTAAAAAAGAGTAACTGGATAATGGATAGATAGAATGACAAAAGTACACAAGTACTGAAATTAGGTATTTGTTGCCATCCCTTGTAATAATGTGATTATCATGGACATGGTGCTATCTAGCTTTCCTGCATAATTTAAGTGAGAAAATTTGCATGGCAGTGTGTAAAACATTTATTTGTCATAGAGAGCTGCAGAAGGTTAGTAGCATGATACTCCCCCTTTAAGAATGAGAGGACTTTTGGAACAAAAAGTTCCGAGAGTCATGTTCTATCACGGTAACTCTGTTGAGTTTCTTTGAGCATGAAACTTGGCAACAATTTGTACATCCTTACCAACAAGTATAAATGAGTTTTTCAATAGGTGAAATTTTAGTCTTTGGGCTGTCTTAAATAGAGGAGAGCAAGAGACATTTCCCAGTAGTTGAATGTAAAACAGAGCTGGCCAGTGGCATGACTTACCTTCACTTTTTCTCAGATTATGCTGTTTCAGGATTAAAATCTTTAAATAAACCTTACTTGTACAAGTTGGTCAGACTTCATAATATGAGGGCTGGCTGACAAACAAAGCCTTGATTTGAAGGATTATATCATATATATCTTCAATCATTAGCCTTGCCAGCAAAATCTTAGGCAGTATAATTACTGTCTGTATCTCTAGAAACTTTTTTCGGAAACAATATTTCATGTTTTTCGCAAGGATTGGGTTTCCCAGAGACAAACTTTCAAACAATCATAGTGGCCATGAATGACAGATTTTAATACAGAAAATGCATTTTGGGCTGGTGGTAAATATCAACAAAGTTCGCAAAAGTCAAGAAATATGCTAAGATTTATCGCCAATTTAACAAAAAGTATTCAATTTGCAGAAAAAAGCAAAAACATCTCTTAAACCAGACATATTCAGCTTCACTAAATTGTTTAGTTTGGAAAAAACAATTAAGTTATGATGGAGAAATAAGTTGTAACATTACCTAGATGAACTTTTGTTTTCAATGTTTTAAGGGGCTATTTCCAATGAACGCTGTACAACAGTGATAGAGAGAGATTGTTTTATCACTTGGCACAAACGTTCATCATAAGGTAGTGTTGTGAGCAAAATTCTGGTGGCTTTGGCCAAGCTCAAGGTCACATTCAGAGGTCCAAGCTAATGTCATGAATTGTGGTCTTGATTTAAATGTTAATAGTCACTCTAATGAGACTTAATATTTGTTTTGTAATAAATTGGCAAAATTGTGATAGGCTTATTTTGTAATAAATTACGATTAAATTCGCCAAAAGTTATTGATAGAATTGATACAGTTTCAAAGAAAGCTGACGATTTGGTTTATTTTACTTCTTTATTTCATTTTAATAGTTTGTGGAGTTGAAAGCACTATGGCAGTACACATGCTCAGAACAAGGTCAGGTTGCTAGGCAATGCAGCCAGTTGTGGATACAACTTTTAAAGGAACAGTGTGCAGATTTCACTTACGTTCTTAATGGGTTTTTGAATCAAGTACCAACTTCAAAGTAAGTATGCATAACAATTTAAATACTGTACTGACTTAAAAATATCTTTCCAAATGTCCTTGAATATTGTTTGTACCAAATAGCCAAGTTAATACAGTGTAACTTCCGAATTCCGGAACTTCTGAAATCCGGAAACTTCTTAAAACCGAACAATTTTTTCGGTCCCAATTTTTTCCCTTCTATTTTCTATTAATATAATACTTCTGAATTCCGGAACTTCTAAATTCTGAATTCCGGACAATATTTTCGTAAAATTAGAGTCAAATCAATGCAATTTTACCTCCGGAAATATCCAAAGGTGTGAAATACATTATAAATCGAGAATGTTTACCCTGCAGGAAGATTTAATCTCCCTATTGATTGTTTACTAATTAGTGATGATCGTGTAATTTGACACGCGCTAAAATTACTAACTGTGAAATGGTATGTTTGAAGTGATGCGGTTTATCAAAGTAATTTACGGCGGTCAGTTAATTTGAAGTGTTAATTTGCGAATTAAATGATATTTAATAGGACAATGTATGCATCAAATGTATTTAGGGATTTTATTGCATTTGATGTAATTATTAATTAACTAGCACTGGACGATATGTAAGTTTATGCAATTAACAACATTTCTTCAAACTGATAGAAATTCAAAAGCATTTGCAGGTAAGATAAAAATGTATTCTTTTCATTCACATCTTTATCTTGATTAAACGACTATTATATATGATATTACAGCAATGGCCACATCTTCCTTGACATTTAGTGATATTAAGTGTCTTAGTCTTGTCCACATTATCATAAACCTCTGAATTCCGGAAACCTCTGAAATCCGAATTTTTTGACAAATCCCATGGGTGTTCGGTTTTCGGAAGTTACACTGTATAGACCAAAATTTATATAGTAGATATACATGTATACTACCAGCTATCAAGATAGAATAAAAATGTTTATAAAGTATAGTACCAAGAAAGTGTACCAAAGTTTATATATATATATAGAAAATATATTACCAACTACCAATAGGGTACACAAAATGTTTATAAAGTATCTATATATAGATTGATGGTGTGGGGAAGTTTATAAAGATATACTTGAGTAACTACCAAGATGGTAAACGGAAGTTTACATTTACAAAATGTATATAATACCAACAGTTTATAATGTATAGATATTCTACCTACTACCAAGATAGGCCAAAGTATATATAATTTAGATATGTTTCTAAGAAAGAAGGTGGTTTTTACCAAGAAGTAGATCAAATGTCATTGTAAGTTATTACCATAGTTAAAGTACCATTTACCACTTAAGCTACCATTAGGCCAGAGTTCAAGTGTCCATCTAGTGCCCACTACAAAGTTTATTGGCCAGAATATTGACAGTATTCACAGTTTTATATTTTATCACTTGTCAACAAATGAGACACGCCATGACAAAACTAAGGTAATGCGTTTGGGATGCACAGGCTGGTCTGGATCCATGATGGTCGCAAACGCATTACCTTAGTTTTGTCATGTTGCGGCTCATATGTCGTTTCCATGGTAATTAAGTGCTGATTATCTTGTAGTAAACAGAAAAAAAGCACAGTCAAACTATTACGTAGATAAAGTTTGAAATATGACAATATGTACATTATTTCATCAAATATCTGAAATAAAATATTAAGACACAGACATTTATTACTGAAAAAATAGTTAATAATGGTTCTGTTTATTGACAAACTTGTTTATTTAACAAATTTAATGCATGTAAAGGTCAAATATATGACACAGCAAAGGACATACAGATCAATTTCAAAAGCATGATACTTTTGAGTAATTTCATTGATTTGTTGATAGAAGTTTCTCCATTTTATTTTATGCTCCCTGAAAATATATTTTGGCAGAGTCTTCAATTTGTCTCACTATTTTTACCTCTCCTAGACACAAAGTACTTAAAAATTATTTTTATGGCATTCGGTCCTTTGATAGTTGCTATTTACAACTTCTTGTAAATAATGTGGTAGATTTTTACCAAACTTCACAGAAATGGTGCTTGTCTCTCTGCCCTGGTGGTCACTAAGTTTACTTACTCTCCTACTCTTAAACAACATGATTTAGAGCATGTAATTTGCCTAGTGGATTTTCCCAAAAGTTATATAAATCATAACCCTCGGGTGAAAAGATTATTGACCTGTATAGTTCTAGTGTCAGAGTGACTTTAAATCATCAAAACAATTTTTTTTAAATGTGTTGACAAAATATTCATAAAGCTTTTCATACATGATCATTTATTTTGTAAAATGTATATTATTTCAGAAATCTTTGTCTTTTTTTTTTTCAGGAATCAATGTGGTGTTGTTTTGTTTTTCAGGAATCTATATGGTATTTTTCAGGAATCTATGTGGTGTTGTTTTGTTTTTCAGGGATCTACCGTATGTGTTTGTTTGTTTGTTTTTTCAGGAATCTATGTGGTGTTTTGTTTTTTTTCAGGAATCTATGTGGTGTTGTTTTGTTTTTCAGGGATCTATGTGTTTTGGGGTTTTTAACCAGGTTTTCCGAAGGAAAAAACTGGTTATTAGATTGAGGTATGTCGGTGGGCGGGCGGGTGGGCGGGCAGGCGGGTGGGCGGGCGGGCGTAAACAATTTCTTCTGTGCGCAACTCCTTCCATATTTCTCAACGGATTTTGACCAAACTTTCACAGAAGCTTTGTCATCAAGTGCCCTGGCGCATATTGTCGGGATTTTGCGATTGGATTATATTTGACCTAATTATGGCCCTTTGTTTTTTTTCCTTATATAATATATAGTGAACAATTTCTTCTGTGTGAAACTCCTCCTACATTTCTCAACGGATTTTGACGAAACTTTCACAGAAGCTTTGTCATCAAGTGCCCTGGGGCATATTGTTGGGGTTTTGCGATTGGATAATATTTGACCTAATTACAGCCCTTTGTTTTTTTTCCTTATAAAGAATATATAGTGAGCAATTTCTTCTGTGCGCAACTCCTCCTACATTTCTCCACAGATTTTGACCAAACTTTCACTGAACCTTTGTCACCAAGTTCCCTTGGGCATATTGTCGGGGTTGTGCGATTGGATAATATTTGACCTAATTATTGCCCTTTATTTTTTTTCCTTATATAGAATATATAGTGAACAATTTCTTCTGTGCTGAACTCCCTCTACAATTCTCAACAGATTTTGTTCAAACTTTCACAGAAGCTTTGTCATCATGTGCACTGGCGCATATTGTCAGGGTTTGTGATTGGATAATATTTGATCTAATTATGGCCCTTTGTTTTTTTTCTTTATACAGAATTATCAATATATAGTCAACAAATTCTTCTGTGCTGAACTCGTTTTTTTTCCTTATACAGAATACATAGTGAACAATTTCTATCGTGCGCAACTTCTCCTACATTTCTCGACGGATTTTGACCAAACTTTCACAGAAGCTTTGTTATCAAGTGCCCTGGCGCATATTGTTGGGGTTTTGTGATTGGATAATATTTGACCTAATTATGGGCCTTTGTTTTTTTCCTTATACAGAATTATCAATATATAGTCAACAAATTCTTCTGTGCTGAACTCGTCCTACATTTCTCAACGGATTTTGTTCAAACTTTCACAGAAGCTTTGTCACCAAGCACCCTGGCACATATTGTCGGGGTTTTGTGATTGGATAATTTTTGACCTAATTATGGCCCTTTGTTTTTTTCCTTATACAGAATATATAGTGAACACTTCTTCAGTGGCAATTCCTCCTACATTATTCATGTTTTACATTGCACATAGTTACATTGTTTGTTGCTTGTATTTGTATTTCAAATACAACATATTTATCTACAATGGTGATAATTGAAAACCTGGTTTCATGTTATTGCCATGTTTCTTGTTTTTGTTTTTTTTCAGGAATCTATGTGTTGTTTTGTTTTTCAGGAATCTATGTGGTGTTGTTTTGTTTTTCAGGAATCTATATGGTATTTTTTCAGGAATCTATGTGGTGTTGTTTTTCAGGGATCTACTGTATGTGTTTTTTTTTTCAGGAATCTATGTGGTGTTTTTTTTCCAGGAATCTATGTGGTGTTGTTTTGTTTTTCAGGGATCTATGTGGGGTTTTTTTGTGGTTTTTTTTCAGGAATCTATGTGCTGTTTTTTTTTCAGGAATCTATGTGGTGTTGTTTTGTTTTTCAGGGATCTATGTGTTTTTTTTGTGTTTTTTTTCAGGAATCTATGTGTTGTTTTGTTTTTCAGGAATCTATGTGGTGTTGTTTTGTTTTTCAGGAATCTATATGGTATTTTTTCAGGAATCTATGTGGTGTTGTTTTGTTTTTCAGGGATCTATGTGTTTTTTGTTTTGTTTTTTTTTGTTTTTTTTTTCAGGAATCTATGTGGTGTTGTTTTTTTTCAGGAATCTATGTGGTGTTGTGTTTTTTTTCAGGAATCTATGTGGTGTTGTGATGGGGGTGTCAGAGATGTTAACCCTACAAGTCATTTTGAAATGTGCGGCTAATGAGGAATATGTGTGTCCATATGAAATCAGGCAAGTTTTGATCATAAATGTACCATATAATGTCCTGACTGATGTACATGCCCTAAATGACGGTCACGGAAAAGAGAACCTTGAGCACCGGGGACAAATTTTACCTAAAACCTTTGAAGAGAAATCATCCTAACCTAAAACAACCCACTGCGCAACAAGGTGGTATACTGGTTAGAGGCTGTCTGTCAATCTGGCCTGTAAGGGCTTTTTCTCTTTAACCGCTCGACCAATTTTAATGAAACTTGACATGAATAATTGCCATGAATTTTACTTTCAGAATAAATTTGATCTTGACCCATAAATGACCTTGATTTAAAGGTTAATTGAAATTAGCTTCAATTGGCTTTACTTTGTTATAATGGTTGTATTGTATTCATATTTGGACATAACAACCCTTTAAACAATACCTATTGTAGGTCATGGTTAACTTGACCTTTACCCTTGAATGATCTTGACCTTTACAGTAAAATTGTTGAACTTTTCTAAAATTGGCCATAATTAAACTATAAATGTATGGATATGATTGATACTTAAACAAAATAGCATTTAACATAAAACAGTCATGTCAGACAACTCAAGTTTGACCTTGACCCGTAAATGAGGAACAACTCAGACCTTTAAAGGATCTTAACCTGTAAGGTCAATTTATTAATATTAAAAAAAATTAACCATAACTTTGTTATTATTGAATGATCTTTATTCATTCTTGTACATATTTAAGAAAAATTTGATAAGAAGGTCAAACTGAACTTGACCTATAAATGACCCTGACCTGTATTGTAAAATTATTGATTTAAAAAAATAGCCATTATTTATTTTATTAATGAAAGGATTTAAAAAAAAGTCATTATTTATTTTATAAAAGAAAGGATTTGAGTGATGCTTGTAAAAATCAACACTTAAAGTCATTGTAATGCCAATTGAGGATTTCATCACTCATTTGAGGATGAAAAATTGTCATGGATTCAACAGGCAGTTTACATACCGGTATATGTAAATTTGTCTTATGCCATTGTGATTAAGTTAAACAGGCAAGCACTCTAGGGCAATAATATTTGACTTATGTACAAATAAATGAGAATAAATTTGACTTGATGAACTATAGGGGAAAAAAATAATTGATGTTTACAAATATTAGCAGATAATTGGGGAGATAAACTTCCAGAGGTTAGAAATATGTTAAGAATTTCCAACTGGAATAAATATGCATTATTCAATTGAGCTCCTGTTGCTGAGAGGAGAAAGTTTGTTGACATGCAATGACTTGCCCCTCATACGCATAGAAATGAGTCCTTATAGGGACATTGAGTTCTATAAATAAGACGTCACTTTCTTATTAAGATCAGCAGAAATAAATCAGAAAAAACGGTCATGTCACCAACTGTCTGTTACATGTTTCATTGTGAATTAAGTAAATTGAAATTCGATAAACAATAATGAAAAATTTTGTTTGGAGTTTTTAGGATAACCAATCTAAAGATTATTCTATTTTCAAACATTGTAATGGCAGATTGTATTTCCATAAGATGGATAGCCTTGTGCATCATCTCTACAAAAAATAATGTTTTGTTTAGAAAAGTTGTTTTTCTGATTCATTATTTTAAGGAAGAACTGTGATTGAAGGCTAGGCTGTGACAACTTTTAAAGCACACTTTTGATAGAAAAAGATTAAAACATGTCAATCAGAGCCTGCTATGATTGTGAACAAAAAATAAATCCTGTTCGGGCTCTCGGAAATTATGATGCTGAAGTTCTTTTTTTCTAGAAAAACAGCATTCTCATATTGAATGCCATATAACATGTTCTTATTGCAGCATACACATTTTGAAATTACACTGTAGCCTCGCTATATTGCTCTCAGTTATAACGCTAATCTCAGTATAGCGCTCATAGACCTTGGCTCCAAAAAAAAAAAAAAAAATTAAGTAGATCTAGATTTATAGCGCGCTATAACGCTTGTTCAATTTGACAGTCAAGTACAATAAACAATTGTAATTAGGACATTTATGAGCGCCAAAGGTGTGAAAAACATGCCCAGGTAAGCGTTTATCCGCTCTTTTGTTGTTTTACCTGTCCATCAGTCAGGCATCAAATTGTTTCCAAAATCTCAAATTCATATCATAACTGTAACATGGGCAACTGGTGGTGAGTATAAATAAACTAAAATTCACACACATATCTGTGACATGTGAACCTCGCTGAATTAAATAACCCACAAGCCCAAAATCAATTTAAAATCCTGCACTGTAAATAAACAGTCGAGACAGGAAGTAAATGGCGTTTGATAAACTAGGGGACACAACTAAAGCTGGACTGTAAATTATTGTAATTTACAGTCCACCTTTAGTTGTATCCCTTAGTTAATCAAACGCTATTACAGTAATGACTAACTGTTTACACTACATTCATGATTTATGCTTTTCTTTTGAAATTTTTTGTTTCTTTTAAATATAATTAGTATTATTTGTGAATATAATATATGTTTACATCATTGAATTGTTTTAGAAAAAGATAATGTCGATATTCATTGAACAGTAAGTAAATCGTCAGCGTTATATATATGGGCGGTGGGTGGGGTAATGCGGTAATTTCGCAATGAGCGTTCTAAGAGAGCCTGGTTAGAACGCGGTGTTGAGACATTGGACACCAACATGAGTGTTATAATGAGGCTGTAGTGTATTACTAAAAAATAAATTTTTTTGCCATTGTGTGGGCTTAAGATCAAGGTCACAGATAAAAGTCAGAAGTCATATATTAGAAATTTTGTGTCCAATATATAAATCCTACACACCTTGAAGGATTTTATTCAAACTTAGATCAAATGTTCCCCTCATTAAAGTGGTGTGCAGAACCCATACCGTGATAGAAACTTTACAGTGTAGAATTGGCATCGCAGTATCATTTTAATGCTTCCGGGTTATTGCAATTAAAAGCACCTTTCACATTCGGTCACATTTATTTAAAGCTGACAAAATTTGTTTTATATCATCTTCTTTGTTCACAAAATTAAATGCGTTTCTACACAGTGGCCTTGGCTACTAAGTATTGTTTTCTAGAAATCAGGAAATATTGGTGTAGTTCTGTAGGATCAATCTTTTTGCTGGTATTGGGTTTAAATTTCTAAAATAACATTTTGGTCAACCCAAACAAATTTTGATGAAAACATATTTCAAGGTCTATATGCACACATAGCTATCAGTACTCAAATTATACGAAAGTTCAGCCAATGCAAAAATTCAACCAATATGGACAAAAACTACATTTTTGATTTATTGCAAAAAATAATACTGTGGATAGGAAAGTGATCAGCCAACATCACAAGTTATATATCGGTTACACAACATGTTATGTTCTTATTATTGTCGACTGTAGGCATTGTATTATGAATATTTGATATATTTATTTGCTTATAGCTGCCGTCTTTTTTCTTGCTTGCTTATTAATTAATCCTATGTGACAGAATTTCTCACCAATCGTGATCTGCTATTGCAGCTATATGTCCTAGGGAATGGCGTGTTATTGTAATGAACTTTTATTCTTATTCTTCTTGAAAGTGCGGACTTGTTCACTTTCTGCAAACATTTTTTTCCCTGTATTGTCACGGTATAGATCAACATGGGTTACTAAGTACTTGTTGAATACGGTAATTCATTAGTTTTAGGGAAATTTTTCAAAATAAGTACAGACAGAATAGTGAACAGTGCAGACCATGATTAGATGACATGGATGTGCCTTCTGATCTTGGTCAGTTCACATGAGTAAATCAGTAAATAGCGTTTTGTTTACCCCATAATTATTGAACTTATATTCCAAGTGTTATAATCTATGATACAATAGGATTACAAATAATTTAATAAATGCACTACATTATACAATTTTTCTGATCAACAAAATTAATCTTGACTAACATTCTTTTATTCCATATAAAAATTATTCCATATTAAAATTATTCCATAAAAAAAATTATTTCTAAGTCTGTATATTTGTCAAAGATCTCCCATAATGTGTTTAATTAAGGGGGAATCTTATTTAATTAAACATTGATTTATAAGCAAAAACATGATGTTTCTCCATTGTGTCATGTCTATGGGAAGGTTACTATAGTATTTGCAAGTTTAATACTTTAATGAACATAGTCATTTAAATATAAAACCTCTTTATGTAAACTTGGATGTACTTTTATGGGATCCCAAATAAATGCTCTAACATGATGTTGCTGACAAAAGATGACCCTGGATTTGTGGTGTGTAAACCAGCTTATCAGAGTTGGAAGAGGATTTTTACATTTTTTTATCCATAAAGGTCTGAAGGCTACCAGAAAAAGCAATTATGACTGGTAAACATTACAAAAAAATGTACTGCCTCAGGTGGTTTCTAAACTGAATGATAGCCGTCCAATCACAGGAACCTCTAAAATTATGAGTTCACATGACAATGCCAGTGCCTATAATACAGGGGCAGTTACTCAGTGCCTGTCTGAGAATCAAATTGTATCTCTCCCTCATCTCCCCTATAGTCCTGACCTAGCACTTTGCAATTTCTGGTTATGTCCTTAACTGAAAGATTATTTCACCAGAAACAAATACACATTGTCAAAAGCAGTAAGTTACGGGGTATACCTAAAGAAGAGTACTGGGAAGCATTTGATAAATGGCACAGACGACTGCAACTGTGTGTAGATGGGCAGAGTACTTTGAGGGACTGAGAATATTTTTTTAACCTTTTAAAGTTGATGTCTTGGATTGTCATTTAAAATTAATGTATGACTTTTGCTGTGAAGTGGAATAATAAGAGCAATCTGGTGTTTTCATCATTTTTAGCTCGACTATTCGATAAGAATAAGTAGAGCTATTGTATCACCTGAGCGTCGGCGTCGGCGTCGGCGTAACCACTTATGTTAAAGTTTTTGTAATAGTTCAAATATTTTCAAAGTCCATTGACATATGGCTTTGAAACTTTGCACACTTGTTCACCATCATGACCCCAACCTGTAGACAGGAGGAGGTAACTCTATCAAGCATTTTGACAGAATTATGCCCCTTTTTCAACTTAGAATTTATGTTAAAGTTTTTGTAATAGTTCAAATATTTTCAAAGTCCATTGACATATGGCTTTGAAACTTTGCACACTTGTTCACCATCATGACCCCAACCTGTAGACAGGAGGAGGTAACTCTATCAAGCATTTTGACAGAATTATGCCCCTTTTTCAACTTAGAATTTATGTTAAAGTTTTTGTAATACCTCTAATATTTTCAAAGTCCATTGACATATGGCTTTGAAACTTTGCACACTTGTTCACCATCATGACCCCCACCTGTAGACAGGAGGAGGTAACTGTATCAAGCATTTTGACAGAATTATGCCCCTTTTTCGACTTAGAATTTACGTTAAAGTTTTTGTAATAGTTCAAATATTTTCAAAGTCCATTGACATATGGCTTTGAAACTTTGCACACTTGTTCACCATCATGACCCCCACCTGTAGACAGGAGGAAGTAACTGTATCAAGCATTTTGACAGAATTATGCCCCTTTTTCTACTTAGAATTTATGTTAAAGTTTTTGTAATAGTTCAAATATTTTCAAAGTCCATTGACATATGGCTTTGAAACTTTGCACACTTGTTCACCATCATGACACCAACCTGTAGACAGGAGGAGGTAACTGTATCAAGCATTTTGACAGAATTATGCCCCTTTTTTGACTTAGAATTTACGTTAAAGTTTTTTGTAATACCTCAAATATTTTCAAAGTCCATTGACATATGGCTTTGAAACTTTGCATACTTGTTCACCATCATGTCACAAACCTGTAAACAGGAGTAGGTAACTCTATCAAGCATTATTTTTTACTATCAAGCACTAGAATAGTCGAGCGTTGCTGTCCTACCGACAGCTCTTGTATAAAAGTATGGATATGAAAATGTAATTAATAACATATTCAGTTGTTTGAAAATTTATGTAAGATTTATGTAAATTACATGACCAAATCAGTTGTATGTATGTATGGTCGCTATAAAAAGAACATTAATTGTAACTGGCAGAGAATTAGACCAACAATTTTAGATGATCAATGAACAGGCAGCCCAAAATTTGAGTCCCAATTTTATTATAAGAATTCTGTTTGATTTGTCTAGATTTCCATAGGAAATAAATATATTGTAGTGATTTTATCATGTGTTATTTGTTGTCTGTGATATGGCTAGATTGTCTATAGGAATAGCCTGATCTTGTTGTAACACATCATTACATGGCTTATCAAAGATAAGTGGTTCTTCTCAGATGTCTTTTCTCATCTTGCTGGAGCATAATGTGATAAGCCTCTACCACTAGTTTAGAGACAGCCCAGTCCGCACATCAGTGCAGTATGACCAGGCTCTATACTGATGCCACCTTGATTTCTGTCCAAAATGTGGTTTATTGTTGTTGTTTTAGTTATTTTCCTTTACTATTGTCATGCCTAATTATTTTGTTACTTTTCATGCTGTATTTTTGTCAGGAGAATAACTCGAAAAGTAATTTGGTGTAGTGAAGGTTCACTTTGGTCAAGTTCACTGGTGCTAAAAATAGATCTTTACACTTTTGCTTATACAGCTTTTGTTTACTGACAAGTTTTTCATATTTAGTAGGTGGATACCTTAAAGGGCCAGTTACACAGACGGTCGGTCCCCAATCGGTCATTTAATTTTAAATTTACTCGCTGCTATGATCAGTTGTCATGCGTGATTTTATTTCTGGTTTTCTGTGTAAACGGCCATCGGTGACAGAAAGCAAACTCAAACACGGTTGGATGGTGATAAAAATGCTGAAATACTATCGGTTTTTATCGTTTGTAAATCGGAGCTAAATCGGGCGTAATGCTGATTAATCGGTGTTTGATAGCTAGTCATCAGTGGTTAAATGCTTTCCGTCAGATATGGCCGGTGATTCATATTTGGTCATCTTTGTCCGATCGGCGATATCGGTGATTAAGAGCTTGCATATCTTGTGATATAGGTTGCTGTCGGTTATTTGTAAATTTTTTATACTTTTATCTTTGGCGGTTCTATAACTTTCGGTGAAGGAAGTGATTAGATGACTAATAAAATTGATTTTGAAACTTTTGCTTACATGCAACCTTTATTGATTGACTGGGTTTTTCCTAATGGGTAGCTTGATACCTTGTGTTGTCCTTTAACTTAAGTAAATTTGGGTGAAGATCATTGGTACTTAGAAAGAATCTGAAGTTTCTTAAAAAAAATAAGTGCAAATCTGGATGCTTGCTGCTTTATTGTTTTGAGTACAGAATTAATAGGCCTCTTTATAATAATAGCACAATGGGTAATAGATGAAAGTCACATTGAAATAAAATGTGTTTCAAATTTGTTAAAAGCCTAAAATTTGGGACTAAAATAGTTATTCACAGGTTTGGGAACTATAAAGTAGAACTTCAGCTAAGGTTGTTAGATCAAAATTTCTACCTTTATGCTTTAACCTCTCAATACATTAAAGTTGACAACTGCCTCCATAAATGAATGATAATTCAGCTGGTACACAGAATCATTGCAAGCTACATATGGTAATTACCTCTAAGGAAATTAAAATTACTTGATGTTACAGTTACATGGTTAACATAGAAAAAAATATTGTTATTATCTCAAAGCCCTATGGCCATAGATAATGAATATTTCATGAATTGTTTGCTAGGGTTTTTATTTCTGGCTTCAAATAGAGTAATCATATTGCCCAAGAGGAAAGCCAAATGTCAAGTTTGGTTAATATAGGTGGATCATGGATGAGATTTTGTATCTAAGAAAAAAAAATTATTATAAAAAACAAAGCAAGTGACAAACAATAGCTAAATTACTAGAAAACAAGCAAGGCAGATGTGCTGACTGACTTGGCCCTGTTCTCTTGTGGCATTGGAAAGTGCAATGCCTTTAGGGTTCCAGTAAAAAGTTGTTTTGAATTTTAGTTTCAATTTATTTTTTGGTACTGAGACAAGCAGCAGAAACCTTTATAAAGGTTGTGAATAACATATAGTCAATCTCAATATCATAAACCACAATGCAAGTTGAACAGTTTGTCATTTCAGTGTTTGCAGTAGAATAACATCCCTTCATTGAAGAAATTATTAGTAGAATTACTTCCCTTTTATAAAGAAATAAGGAAAAAAATTACTTCCCTTTATGAAGAAATAAGGAGTAGAATTACTTTGTGAAGTAAAAAGAGTAACTTCCTTCTATGTAGAAAATAGGAGTACTTTTATTTCCCTTTGTGAAGAAATTAGTAATAGAATTACTTCTCTTAATGAAGAAATTACAAGTAGAATTACTTCCTTTTTTGAAGAAATAAGTAATAGGTAATAGAATAACTTCCCCTTTTGCAAAAATTTTGAGAAGAATTATTTCTGTTTATGAAGAAATAAGGAGAATTACTTTCCTTTATGAAATCAAAGCACAGAAGGCACTGAATTTGTTTGGGTCTCAGAATGTCAGAAAGGTGAAGGTTGTGAGATTATAAACCAATTTGTTTTTGTATAGTGCCACCAATGTTTTCCAGTGTTTTAACTGTAGTAAATTGGCTATAAGACTAATTACAACACTGATAGTCAATTCAATGTTCGACGCTAATCACAGATGTAAATATTCATGGAGCTTACTGTAAGCATGTATATCTATAAAGAATGAAACAATATTAGAAATCTTCGACCATTCGGGAACTACTTTGCTTGAAAATTAATGCGCCTGTCATTTGACAATCTTTACGCATTGATCTCCCCTGAATTTTGGGCGTTAGTGTACATATAAAGGGAAGTAACCGCTTCAAAAAAGTGGACTACTTTAGGCATTTGCAATTAACAGCATTAGGCTCTGAAATTTCGCTACCATTATTTGTTTGGTCTGACGACCCAAACAAATAAAAACAGGAGTAAAATTATTTCCCTTTATGAAGAAATTAGTAATAGAATAATGTCCCTTTATGCAAAAAATATAAGAAGAATTACTTCCCTTTAAGAAGAAATTGAGAGTAGAAAGACTTTCCTTTCCATGAAATTGTGTTTCCTATATAATTCTTATCCAAATAAACGGTGTTAAATGCTATTGACACCTTTTAGACAAAGTAATTCCGTTAAATATTTCATGAAGATATTTGTTTACATAAAAGTCAATTATAACTGTAGACATATTAAACTACTGAGACAAAATTATTAGTCATTTTGTTCATTTGGGATCATTTATTCTAGGCAATATCAGCCAATTTGTTTTCATTATTGTCAGAGGGAGATAATTTTATCATTAAGTATAGTTACATAAATTTGATTTATTGGCTAATTTTGTAATATTTACAAAAATATAGTGTATAATCTTGGTCCATGTAATTTATAGAAAATTGTCTTATGTAACCTCAATGTTTATACAATATTGTATAGAAATAAATTATTATATAATAAGACAAAATATTAATGAAACCTATGTAGTGTCATGTGCAAGTCAGTGACATGTTGGTTTATAAATAATAAAGGTTAATCCTGTTATGCAAAATGAAAATAATGGATTGAAATAAACAAATGATAATAAGTGTACAAATGAATAAAAGGCATCATATTTGTGTGTGTGTATGTGTGATTCTAACACTAGTTTTACTTAATGATGCTATATTTTCAGAAGTCCACCACATCCATTCATATCAATTATTACAAACAGACCTGCAGAGTCATGGCCCTTGATTTTAGAACAGATTGACAGATTGTTCACCCATTCTGATCGAAGGTAAGTTATACTTCCATATTATATTTAAATGGTAATTTAAGGCCCATTCAGCCTCAAAATTGATTTATTTTTATGGCTCAAAACATTTTTAGCTCACCAGAACCGAAGGTTCAGGTTGAGCTATTAGAACCGAAGGTTCAGGTTGAGCAGTGTAAGAAATTAGGATTTGAATCCACTAGACTGGTCGGACTACCAGATTGAAATATTCACTAGCCCAAAAGACATTTCACTAGCACAATACATTTGTTCAAAACAGTTGTTTATATTCCCTCTGAAAATACAGTAGCCTGGTCGGGCTTGTTACTGTGAAAAGTTGGTAGCCCGTGGTGAAATTTAGTAGTCTTGGGCTATAGGACTACTGCTAATTTCGAACACAATGGGTGAGCTATTAGTATCAAAGGGGGATGCTCCGGCGTCCATCATCCGTCATCATGCATCAACAATCATCTTCATCTCTGAAACTGCTTGGCAGATTTACTTCAAATTTGGTCTGTAGCATCCTTGTGATAGTCACACTTGAATTTGCTCATGTCATTTTAATTGGCCCCTTTTAGGGGTCAACAGAGCTAAATATAGAAAAACCTTCAAACATCTTCTACTACAGAACTTATTGATGGATAATCACTAAACTTTGTCTGTAGTATTCTTGGGTAGTCTTTTATCAAGTTTGCTCATATTAATTTGATTGGCCTCTTTAAGGGTTCTTTAGGGCTAAAATAGAAAAACCTTTAAACATCTTCTTCTACAGAACTAATTGATGGATGATCACCAAACTTTGTCTGTAGCATTCTTAGGTAGTCTTTTATCAAGTTTGCTCATATTAATTTGATTGGCCCCTTTTAGGGGCCACTAAAGCTTAAAATAGAAAAACCTTTGAACATCATTTCCTACTGAAATAATTGATAGATGATCACCAAACTTTGTAGCATTCTTAGGTAGTCTTTATCAAGTTTGCTCATATTAATTTGATTGGCCCTGTTTAAGCTAAAGCTTAAATGCCCCAGGTCATGGCATTTCTTCAAATTATTGATCAAACATATTCTATGCTAAAATTTAATATTAGAAAATATTGACAATGGATAATTTCCAACACTGAAAAGTAGTTGTTTCTGGTGAGCGACTCAGCCCTCTTGTAACTTTTGGTGTCTTGTTCCTCATGAACCGTCTTTTGCTTCTTTTGTATTTTGGCATTTAGTTCATTTTGCATGGAAATCAAAATAAGACTTTGCGGATGTTTTGCTACTTTTATCAATCATTTAATAACAAGGTTTTCAAGTTTGAAAATCCTGGTTATTAGATTGGGGTAAGGCGGGTAGTGGGCTGTTGTCAAACAAGATGGTTTCCAGTGTCAATAACTTAAGTTCAGATTGATTTATCTTAATGAAACTTGATGTATTGAAAAGGTTAAGGTCACTGTTTCTAAAAATAGAAAATTCGTTTCTGGTCAATAATTAGAGTTTGGAATGAGACATTTCAATGAATGTTTTATAGCAAGCTTATGTGAATACCTCACTTTGGATTGCTTTTGGGCCCCTTCGGGTAATTATGTAATGGTCCCTGTCCCTGTCCAAGAAAGACATGTGTGTGATGTCCTTGTTAAAGGGAATTAGACACATGATTTATAATGGCTATTATTTAGTAAGTAAACATTTAAGAATTATTATTTCAGAGTCCAAGAGAATGTTTTTGTGATGTTGGATCCTTTTATCAAATTTGTATTATTGGACCCAAAGTGTAGTGAACAGTATAGTAAATTACGGTCTAACATGAAAGTGAGGCTGGTGAATCAGGTCGGAAAGGTTGATGATCGTGAATTGAGAAATGAATACATGAAATACCTTATAGACTTGCTGTCCAAGATGCAGGTAAGGAAATAAACATGCTTATTACCTTAATATGTCTTCTATAAATACTAATACCTTAATTGAACCCATGAAATCCTGGCATCGGTCCCAAATGTCATCCCTTAAATAACTCAGGATAACAGTTTTGACTGTTGCACAAACACCCATGAAATAACTGTATACTGTTGTGTAGTGTAACCCCTTTGAATGCTGGCGCAAACAGATTCTACCCATGCAAGCCGTTAAGACCTACATCAGCCAACACATCTTTGCTGTCTGATCAAGGTCTACACTGTTTCTTTTTCAGTCAGTATGTATTTCGAAATTTTCCCTTAAAATGAAGAATTCTTTTGTCCGGATTGAAAGATAAATAAGTCCATTTAAGATATATAGCTTTGTAAGTGTTGATGTTTTACATGATTTATTGCATAATACTGAAAGAGTTTAAGTGTTTGTCAAGCACCTGTAATCTGAGATAATTTACTTTCTGTCTATCATAAAAATATTTTTACAAGATTAAAAACATGTAAATAGCTAGAAAAGCAATAACTGTGACAATGTGCTTTTTTGATAAATGTCCCGATAATATAACACAAATTTTATGCTACCGGGGGGAAAAATGGAACACTTTGAAAAGCTTTTAAAATACAGTTGAGTCTCAATATATTCTAGTTTTGTTTTTTCTTCCCAGAAAATATATCATACAAAGATGATATATATATCATATTTTCAGTAGCCCGTATATTTTTATTAACCTAATAAAAACAATAATTTTTTTCTTAAAATGTGAACTCATAGATTTTAGATATAACTGTGTAGATACATTAAAGTAATAAAAAAATCCTTCAAATAGAAATAACTTAAGCAGAAAATCTGTCAGAAAAGTAGCTGAGAAGAAAATATTGTTTCTGCTCCATAAAATAACAAATTCATAATACAGATTCTTGCCTCCCTCCTCCTGCTGTTTGGGTTATCAGCATTATATATGACAGGAAAGTCTGCCAATATAATTTATATGTTGACAGTAAAAATGTCAGCCATTACACTTCATTTATCCCCTGTCAAATGAAAATCCTCACAAGATCTATATACTTCTCAATTGTCTGTAAAATGTGAGATTTTTACAATGAAAAGTATCATCATTATTACTGGTCATAATATACAACATTGTGGGAGTTACATACATTCTTCACAAGTCTATTTCCTTAAGAACAACTCTGTACAAGGAAATTTCATAGGTCCATGGTTTTAGATTGGAACTCCTTACAATATATTTGATTTATTTTGTGAGGATGAAAATTCTACATTCTTCATTTTACCTGCAGAAGTTGATGAAACATTTAGTGATATTTCAATTGCAAGAATTCTCTAAGATTAACTCATATATCATTTTCTATAGACATATGAACTGATCCAATGAATTTAAAAGAGATTTGTAAATCTTTTGTTGTTGCCAGTAAATTGTCATTTCTTTTTTGTTAACAAGTCCTTAATAATATGCAAATTTTGAATTTTTCTACAGTGACAATGGTATATATTGGATGAAGAGGCCATTATTTTGCCATAATTCCTTTCAATTTTATATTTACTTTGCTTGAATTGCATGCCTAAAGGAAATTTAAGTAAATATTTATCAGAATTTAACCTTTTACATTCACTTAAGAGTGGAGCAGTCTTATTATATTTTAGGCAGATTTATTTTTTAGTCTAAACATTTTTCAATGGCAACTGTTGATCAATCACCATTATAACGTCAATCTTTTGATATACTTTTATGTATTTAGTCAACTTAAAAAGATGAACATGATATCACATTTAACTGCCTCCGTGGTCGAGGGGTTAGAGTCGATGACTTCTAATCCAGTTACCTCTCTGGCGTGGGTTCGATCCCCGGGAGATGCTTTGGTAGTTTAGCGCGGAGGAAGGTAGTCTAGTACTGGTGTAACTCTCCAGGAACGATGGTTAGGAAACTACCCACCTATATGACTGTAATACTGTTGGGAAAAGGCGTAAAGTGAAACAAACAAACAAACTAGTATATCACATTAATTTTTGCATGCAAAATTCAACATTTGTAATGGCATAAAGAATGTAAAAGTGAATTCAGATAGACTTTTGAAAAAATCAGATTTGACTATTTAATTAGATTTTAACATTATTAAGCTATGAAAAAGTTAATTCATTCCATAATGTAAATGACTAAAGAATTTTGCCACCACAGAGACTGCCCCTTTCCTCTCCTCTTTTACTTTGTTAATGTCTAGTGAATCTATTTATAGACCAAAAATCTTTACACTTATTTGACCATACAGGATATCATAAATAAGATGTTCTTCATGAATCTTGATGTATTATTCTGGTCCCATGGGTCATTTGTTGTTATTATAGTAAAGTCTTGTCAACAAATAAATAAATCTTTACAGCAACAACAAGAAAACTAGTTGTCTTCAGTTTGGGCGACAGATGGTCTCAGTTGCATGACACATTAGATACGTTACCATGACAACAATTGCATGGAACATCCCTAAACCATTTGTCCTGATACTCACAGATTCGCCCAAGAGATGGGGGTTAAAAAACGGGGAAAATCAGTCTGTAATTATAGACATTGGATTGTTTGTTTACACCTTTACTTGTATGAGCCGGCAACATGATTGTCTCTTTTAACACAAGGTGTGATTTGTGTTGTAAAATTATGTCATTGTATTATTCTGGTCCCATGTGTCATTTGTTGTTATTTTAGTAAGTCTTGTCAACAGATACATAAATCTTTACAGCAACAATAAGAAAACTAGATGTCATTGAATTGTTTTATGTTGTTATGTATGGATGAGACTCAAATAAAGAATATATATAGTAAATGTATTTGAGTGTCATTAGTGTGATGACCCTACTCTTGCATATTTTGTTCTGTTACAAATTGATCACCAAACTGCACAGATTTCTTTTTCTTCAAAATTTCATTAGCCTTAAATGTTCTGAAATATCTTTATTGAAATGTGATAAATATGTTTTGTGAACACACATGCACAAATAAAGAGTTTTTAATCATATGATCTAACCATTCTGAAAAACAAACATGATTGAACAATTATCCATTAGCATTTTACTGGCTATCTGAAGTAATAAATCTTTCTGTAATTCCTAAATGATGTAATTAAAATCTTTATTCATCTTACTTAATATTTGAAAATGTTCACTAGCTGAAGGGAAAGATAACAAATAAATGGGAGGAAAGCTCATTTGATTAATTGATATGGTGACAAGAGTTTTAATTTTACAAAAAATGGCTGTATGGCCTCTTTGGGCATCTTAGCTGTCCATAAATCAGTTCACTTGTGCTAGAAATAGGATAGGAGTCTATACAAGTCTTGTGTAGTTTAACTAAAATTGTATGGTTAAGTGCTGTTATTAGAAAAAAATGAAATTATAAATATTTACTATTTTATCATGAATTGAGAGGTTAAAGTATAAACGTTTGCTATCAGAAACTAACAGAAAGTTTGTGCAACACAAGATGTATTTAGTGAAAATCCAATTATCAGCTATACCATAAAAGTTTATTGTGCCAATGATGTGTTTGTAGAAGAGCATGTAATAATTCCTTAGATAGGATAGTTAAAGGAAATGAAGGATATCAATACATGCTTGCTTTACTTTATACTGAATGGCAATTTCTCTCATTGTCCTAAATTAGATAAGCTTATATATCATTGATACAATCATTATCTGCCAGAAAGAACATTCTGAAATAACATTGAAAATATAAATAATCATTCCATGACAAGAGTTTTATGATGTCAGTTTAAACATGTAAACACAACAAACAGGAATTAAAACTGAGATTATTTTGCTCCCAAATGACAAAATATGTGAAATTAGATTTTTCCATTAAAATTTTTTTTAATCTTTTTTTCGAAATCTAGACTTTAAGGTGTTAGATTCAGATATTGTTCTTAACACAAAAAAGATATTAATGAGAAATTGTTTTGTTAGAATTATTTTAGACTTGATAAAGTTCAAACAAATTGATTTTGAATTTATTTGATAGTGGGTGCGAAGTTTAAATCAAATGTTCATGGTGTTTGCGCTACATTATGTAGTTGTAATATGCGTGACTTGGATCATGTTGAAGAAAAAAATCTAGCTTTTATAATCACTACGTGGTTGTTATTGTGCAAAATCTTTAATGTACAAGTAGGCCATTATTCAAATAATTTGACTTGTATCAATATGAAATATGGAATACTTGCTTATCATGACAAGAGGCATTTGAAAGACAAGGGGCTTTTTTTTTCTGAAAACTATTTTGGAGGTATGTTGGTGTTAGACCTGTGATGTATTGAAACAATATAGATGTATCATTGATAACATTTCTGTCAAGCAATATTTGATACATCACTGTCATTTGAAGAAGAAATCATTAGTTTTGACTAACTAATTAAATGTTTATAAATCATGAAGATCACCCAAAACATATACTGTATGCATGTTCATACAGTAACGGAAGCCCCTGTTCATGTCTAAAATATTGCTGTTGTTATGTAATGGACATATTTCGTTACAGTGATGACAAATTAGATGGTCAAAAAAAATAGTGCAATTTAAACAATACACATAATAATGAACATGTATTTTACTGAAATTTTAATTTTATGAAAGTGTATTATATAATATTATATATCGGTGTATCATCAATATTTGTTATTTAATATTAATATTAATTGTGAGATTAAACAAGACTTACCTGTAAGGTGAAGTTTGATCGAGATTTTGTCTTCTACCAACTCCTTAAGGGATCATACAGAGATGACGTAGCTCATGTTTCCGTGAAAATCAGTCTTTAGAGTAATCGGTCAAGCGTGAATCTGCATGGTTTTCCAAGCAGCGTTCATGCTTTAACAGCAGCATTGAGCATAAAATCAAGCCATGGGGTTGGGTTGGGAGGGTGTATGATCCCTTAAGGAGTAATAATAATATCTTTCAATTTTATCAAATGAAGTGTCTGGCACCTCTGTGCA